AAGCTAAAATCTTGTTCATGATATTGTCCAGTCGTGTTTTCTATCGCAGCAAATCAAACGTGCACTAAATGACTTCGAAAATGTTCTCTGCATGTTAAATTAGGCCTTGCAGGTAACAGGCACATTTGCCAAATATATTGCAATAAATTCTATAAATATATGAACTAACCTGTGCACGTTTTTTCTTCTCCCCCTTGCAGTAATCAGATGATGCACTTCAGATTTGCCAATATCGAGAGCTGGTTGTGATATTTCAAGCCCTTCATCTTTCACAATCGACAAATATCTACACAAAACACAGAGGTTATTCCTTTTTTTCTTAAGCAAAACACCATCAAAGCCTAGGCAGGGTTTAGGACTCTGCCCCAGACCCTGCGGGTGTGGGGTTGGAGTCCCCTACCCTCTTTAGCATAATTCGGTTTTGTATACCTGTCAGGATTGAAGTTTTCAACTCCGAGATCTTCATCCCACAGGAAAATGTAATCATACTCCGCAACTATATCTGGATGCAAGAATCTCTTGGCAAACCACCTGCTCAATGAGGTAATCATCAGATTTTCAAAGGAGGTTCAAGTGAAGACATCAAATCAATCTTAAGGTAATCCAACTTCTACTTATAAGTAAATATAAACATCAAAGAGGAGACTACCATTTAGTTTGATTTTGAGCAGATATGTGTATTACACTGTTGCTCCATTCAAAATCCTGCCACTCATTGACAATACCGTCATAATGGAAAAGCATCACAACAAAATCGCTAGCCAGGAACTGCAAATCAAGGTAGTGAAAATGATTATCAATGTGAATAGCTGCCAAGAATGTCAAGTTCAAAAGAATAGTTATAGAGAGTTTACCTGTTGAACCATCACATTTATAGTGTTCTTTTGCTTTATCCCAACGGCAACAGCAAATAAACTTTTAGAAGTATTTGTGTTCTGCTTCGAAAAGTACATAAAATTATTCTTAAAAGGAAAAGGTTCGAAAATAAGTATAATTCAGGAGTTACAATCCTTTGAACAAATTTTTTAGTATGACATTTCACTTGGATAATACCTTCGGAGAACCCCACAATGGTCGTGTTTCCAAGTTAGAAGTCGATGCAACTATACCTTCGGGTAATGGCTCACTTCCAGGTGGCCTGCATTGATTCTAGAACAGATAAAACAAATTATAATCCCAAGTTGTTCAGAATTATATAAATTTTTATCTACAAAGATATAGATGCTGAATTCAGGTCCAACAGAGGATCAGTTAAAGAAAATTTAGAGAGAAGAACAAACCTTGCATGTACCGTATTTACCATTACTCCCCCGTAAGCCCCATAACAAGAAATTCTGCATAAAAATTCCGAGTTAGTGACATTTAACATAAACTTGAGTTCTTGAGCATATATGGCAGAAGAAACCTAAGAGAAACGTCAATAAAGAGCGTCAACCACCTCTTTACTATGTCGAGCAAGGAACACACTCCATATGAAGAGAACAAGACAGAATAGAGAAGCTGCAGGAAAGAGACCGCAGAAACAGAACCTCCTATGTTTTGGATCTCTGAATACCAATGCCTGAGAAGTACAAGGCAGCAGATTGATCAACAAACTAATAACGACAATATCAATCAAATATATAAAAAAAAATTTAATTGAATTGCTCTACTTAAGTAAAACAAGCTTTAGTCCTACGCGAAGTGGAAGTGAGCGAGCCTTTTACTGTAAAACAAAGAGAATAAGCAGAAAACCATGTACTTGGGCAAAATACACAAAATCATCAAGGGCATTGTAAGGGGGAAAACCTCGTACAAAGATGTACATATTCATTTTGTTAAGAACATGGATCATGTGCAGAGAGTTTAGCATAGTAGTAAGTATAGTAATTTCTGAGATGTGAAACAGAATCCATTTTCTTAACTCTGTAGTCTCTAGTTAATGTTACATTGCAAGTATACAACGGTTCTTCTAGTGCAGAATTGGATATTCACGCGAAACTAAATAGTCTTAGCCAAGCAACTCAACCAGAAAATCTGTGACAAATTTTATTAATCTGAGAATCTAATTATCTAAGCATTTTCATGATATGACAAGAACCTCAGAGGAACAAAGAAAAGTGAAATCATATTTAACCCCTGTTTGATACAAATTAAAATATGATTTTAATCTCAAATCAAAGTCAACAATTAATTTTAACCGCATATTTCATGGGACCCACAAGTTTTCAACCATACATTTCATTAACTTTTATCAAAATTTATTAAAAATCTGATTTTAATCTGCAACAAACAAGGGTTTACTAAGATAAACTCTTGGTGGCCGAAAACTTGGTGGCCGAAAACTAAAGGAAGAGGTAGAACAGCAGGAATAAGCCTCATTTACCATAAACTTGAGGTCCTCTATATGAATTCTTTTCTCCACCCAATTTGATCCAATTCTGGGTTTATAAAGCCGATTTTAAGGTGAGTTCTGCCTTACATTACAAGCTCTTTGAATTTACTTTTCTTGTTACTAACTTGACGTGTACATCTCAAACAATCACTCATTGGGACAACATAATCGTTTTTAACTAGTCGATGATGGGATCATAATCGAATCAAAATTCAATAGCTTACTTTGAACTGATGAACTTATCAGAAACAAGAAAAAACAGAAATTGGATCCCCCAAAAAACCTAACATGATCCATAGACCATGGTACCCATTTAAATCACCTTAAAAACCTCAAAAGAACATGATAGAATCAAAATAGTCATCAATTCAAATGTATAAAAACACAAAACATCATATTACATCCCCAAAAAGATAAGATCAACGGGTAGATACATGCATATGCCGACATGCATGCACTCAATAGATTGCATAGAAAGAAAGACTTACAAAGTTAGAAGACTTGGTCATCTTCCATGAAATAATGAAAGATCATACCCTGAATACACCCAACCTACACATTTATCTGATACTTTATATATCTCTCTTTTCATTGTGTTTTTCTCAGAAATTATTAAACAATCGTGTTACAGCAAGAACATTACTGAAATCTCTATAATTTAACGTGTATTAAATTCCCAGACAACCTGTATCTTACTATCTGTGAGAGAGAGAGAGAGAGAGAGTTCTTTGATTGAAGAAGCAGTCAACTGAAAATGAGAAATAGAGGGAGATAATGGTGGAGGAAGTGCGTTTCCACCGTTGGCTGGAAAATGATATATTAATATATGTATATTTGAGCACGTATCATGTATGGCTAGTTTCTTAACTAAAATCATTAGAAAAAGAGAGAGAGAAAGCACAAATGTATGCATTTCAATTATGGTTGAATTTAGGGTTACGATTCAACAATATCTGTCTTTTTATTCAATCGAATTTTACGATATAATACCATTGACCTGCAATCTCTGTCTTGCTGTAACGATTTCTTTGACATTACAATTTTTATCATGATGATTTTGTCTATATATATTAAAATATTTAGGTGATTGGATTTTACTTGATTGTCTACGATCTTACCATGTAGGTCGGGACTATTTTGAGGACCACGGTTCCACACGTGGTTTATAGGTTGAGAATGCAAATTTTCCAAGTAAATGAGCATTAAAATAAAATATTTTTCATTTGATAATTTTTTTTTTTAAATAAGTAATGTTCTTATTTAAAAAGGTAAATTCAAATATGTTTGGAAAAAAATAAATTACTTACCAATAACTTTGACCTTTGTCATAATTAGCCAATCAAGTTCAATGTAAGAGTGGAAGAATGAGATCCTAACAATGATATTATCCCACGTGTGTAATAAATTATAAATGCACACGAAAGACAACGTTTGGCAACTTGGTTCTGTCGGAAAAGATATCATTACTCCAAGCAAGTAATGGGCCAAGGAATCCACTCATAAGGTGGTTTACATATCTGTTAATGTTTTAGGTTTATCTTAATTTAGTGCGTGCTTGGAAATGCTTAAACCACTTGTAGCATAAAAAATTAATAAAAATTAAAGTTAAAATCAATAATTAATTTTAATTACACATTTTATAGAACCCACAACTTTTTTAACTTTTCAACTACACATTTTATGAACTTTTATCAAAATCTACTGAAAATTTCATTTTTAACTACACTAAGCTCACGAAATACGTAGAGATAGTATTTGTGATTCTCACTAAATACATAGACTTATAATAATTTGACTATTTATCCTGTTTGCCACAAATTAATATCAGATTTTTAGTAGATTTTGATAAAAGTTGATGAAATGAGTTGTTGAAAAGTTGTGGGCCTACGAAATGAGTGACTAAAATTAATTGTTGACTTTGACTTGAAATTAAAATCAAATTTTAATCTGAACCAAAATGGCTAAATAAGGGGCTAAATATTTGTACTGGTCAAACATACTATTTATTCAAATATTTCTTGAAATTCATAGTATTTACATATTTATTATTTACACATTTCGTAGAATCATCAGCTTAACATCACTCACAATCGAACGCGCTAGGTGGGACTTTTGTCGCTAGTCCAGTCTAATTTCTCGTAGTACTATTTTTCTTTCATTATTAATAAAACGTGTCATCCAGTATGGTCAATTTATTCAGTGCTAATGTTATATGCTGGCTTTTCAGTTTGAAATTATGTGCATTATTAGTTGTTTTGGCCGTGGAACTCGGTGCAAATGGGGCAGTGGATATGTGTCTCTCTTATTTCACTTTATATTAAAAGAGGCAAAGCAAAGATCACATGTATCACAATTTTCCATCGTCGTAAAAAATCTCCAATTTTTTAAAAAAAAATTCCATGAAATTCGTCAAAAATCCCCCCACGGCCATTCCTCATCCTCCATTATCTCACGCAACCACCAACTCCTCCTCTATTTTCCCACGCAATCTCCCATTGCTTCTCCTTCCTTTCCATTTGCTCGAACAATAGGTTTTTTGCTTCAGCCTCGTGTATTTCCTCTGGTTTGTATTATATTTTCCCGATTTCTTGTGTCATTATATAGTCATTCGTTCAAATTAATTTTCAGTGCCCAACTCAGAATCCACGGTTTGCTTCAATGCCAATTCGTCTTTCTTTCAACAGTAAGCTTATTCATTCAATTAGTTCAATTTTTTATTATGATTTTCACGTATACATGTATTTGATTTTCATGTATTTTGAATGTGGGGTTTTAGAACAGAGGCTTATAGTCAAAACTACAGAGAATGATACCAACAAAAGTACACTGTTTTTTCCTGTTGCCTTTTTAGACTTTTATTTAGTAAATTTGTATCTTCGTGTTTTTTTTTTATTCGATTAGTGTGTTTCTTGACTAAAAATAGGAGTAGTAGATTGTTATTTTTATATGAAAAAATGAGAGAAAAATAAAAGGAATGAGTTAAGCTAAATTGTGTGTTTGAATGGATCTTTGAAATATACCAGATGAAGCAACGACTGGGAGTGATTCAAGCATTAATCTGATACTTCGTATTAAAGCAGCCAAGAAAGAAACAGTGAGATGTGAATCTTTACATTTAATAGTTTAATGCACTTTACTCGTACCTATATTGAATTCACTTATGCTTGTAATAATAACACGAGTCATTGAATATGAAAACGTTGGCACAATTCTCACTTCAGTCTAGCAATAACAGAATGGGAAGGGCTTTTATGCCTTTCAAGGGGTATGTGCTTAGTTAGATTGTGGAGTAGTTGATTGTGTTTGTGAAGTGCAAAAATTGTGCCTTGATTTAAAACTTCATGTCTTCAAATCTTAGGAAAAATGGGTTACATTTAAGGTGTTTGATAAAATGACCAGTGAAAAATTAATGTATAATTAGGCCTAAACTAGCAATTGGATTTCTTTAACCTTCACTATTATTCAAAAAAATAAAATAAATAATCTCCATCAGCACGGAGGCATGAAGACACGGACGATGTCTCCATGCGGGGATGGAGACACGCCATGTCTCCATCCACTAGATGAGACATTTCTCCATCTCTATATCATGTCTCCATCCACTGGATGGAGACACGAACAAGTGTCTCCGTGCAGTGGACGAAGACATGGAACTCCGTCCACTATGTCTCCTTCTAGTGGAGGTGGACGGAGTTCCATGCCTCTGTTCCATTTCTCTATCCAGTGGACGGAGGCATGGAACTCCGTCCGGAGTTCCATGTTTCTATCGACGGTGTCTCCATGGAGAACATAGTCTTTCCGTTAACTTCTTAATTAATTGGCTAATTTAAGAAATCCCCAAAATAAATCGTCCAAATTTTAATTAACTTGCAAAATAACTTAAACTGTTTAAAAAATAGAAATTTTGGAAGAAAATTGAAATGAGGCTCAGATCTGTAAATAATCCGGCAAAGAGAATGCAAGTTTGCCCTGGCTGCAAGTCATTGGTTGCATGTGATGAAGATCACAAAGCCATCCAAAGTTGCAATGCCAAGATACGAATCTAATTATCTCAATGCCCGATCCATTAGCTCAGGAAAAAAAAACAAGGAAAAATCATCACAGTCCCTTCTTATTCAATAGGAAATTAACAGAACAGATGGTGAAAAAAAGGATTTATTCATAACCCTATAATCGTAGATATTAACTACAGAAAATTGCAGTCCAGGTACCAAAGATTTCAGTTATTTGCCGACTTTGTCCACACCTTTAATTTGTATCACCCACGGTACCTTTAAAAAAATCGCACTTCCAGTCCTCATTGATGGTTCCACCTGTTTGACCACGATAATCGTTAGTTGACCTCATAAATAAAAAATTATGAAGAGTAAAATAGTAACTTGATAGTTTTCTCATTAAATAAATTAAAAAAACAAAAACTTTCAATCAGTTTCTCCTTCTCGGCATCAACAGTGCCGGCACGTTTCTGGCACCGCCACCACCGTAAATCACAAATGAAGAAAATCATGTTCGACACCCAAAAATGGAACCTAAATCACGGCCACCGCCAATACGTCGCCACGATCGTCACCCATCACCCACCAAATCCACATCATCCTATCCCAAAACCAGAAGACCACCACCACCACCACCGATCTCCTCACCACCAACATCACCAATGCCGGTAACTACCCATTTTCAAACTTCAAACTCAATTCAAAAAATTAGAAGATAATGGAAAATTGAATCTCATTGGAGCCAGGAGAACCTCGAGCAAACTTGTACGACCATGGGTAACCATTTAATTGCTCCAATTGAGGTTAGGTCTGATTTAATTGCTCCAATTGAGATGGCTCCAATTCAGGTTGGGACAATTCGACAGGTCTCTGTGGCTACAATTTATAATGCTGGGGTTAAGAGGAATTCTACCAATGATGGAGGCCAGACTTTGAGGCGGCGATGCTGAGGATGGTGGTGGTGGCCTGCAGTGGGTGGGAATGGGGATGAGTGGAGTGGGAGGAAGAATGGTTTTTGTATTTTTGTATTTATTTTTTTGGTCTTTTAATTTAATTTACGGTGGTGGTGGTGGTGGTGCGACAGCGATGGTGGTGTCAGCACTGTGCCGATGGTGGTGTTGGCAACATGTCGGCACTGTTGATGTGGGGAAGGAGAAACTGATTGCATGTTTTTTTTTTAAATTTATTTAATGAAAAAATTGTTAAGTTATTACCATTTTACCCCTCCTAATTTTTTTATTTATGGGGTCAACTAACGATTTTCGTGGTTAAACGGATGAAAACCGTCAATGAGGACTAGAGATGTGATTTTCTTAAAGGTTTGGTACCGTGGGTGGTACAAATTAAAGGTTTGGACAACGTCTTCAAATAACTGAAAGGTTTGGTACCTCAACTGCAATTTTTCATAAAGTTGTATTTAAAGGAGTCATTCATGATTTTTTTTTTTTTTTTAACAATTAGCGTTCACACTCAAGCAACAAAAGCATGTTGCAAGCTAAATCTTACTCGTCACTAGTTTCTGTGGACGGAATTGATAGTATTATAAAAGTTTAGTGGTAAAATATTGATGTTTTAAAGTTTATCTACAATTTGCAAGCACGTCAATAAATTGAGGCACAAACAATTCTTTGAACCTTGTTTACACATAAAGGTACTAATATTTAAGAGTAATGCTATTTAATCCCACCAGTGTTACAACCTCAATCTATGTGACTTTAAATGATAAGTTAAATGAATCGCACATATCATTTAATGACACATTAACGCCACCTAAATTGTGGTTGTAACTCAGTGGGCTACATAGCATTGCTCATTATTTAATCACATGCATGACAATTAATGGTTGTGATTCTAACTAGAATAGAAATTGTGGAATATTACGTATTTATGTAATCAAATAGATTGTCATCAAAGCTAAGCTTTATTAAATTCTTATTCAACTGAATTTTTGTGTCAATGCTTGTAAATCGGATCGGATCGACAGGTTCAATTGTAAAAATTGAGAATCGGACCAAAATTAACCGTTTAATAAAAAAAATTGGACAACTAAACCGGATATCAATTACAGTTTTGAAAATTGAACCAATTTCCAAAACTTGAGATGAGACTTCGAATCTTTTGAAGTTTCACCTTGAACGAATATTTTCTTGGATTTGTTGAGAGGTTTGGGGGTGGTGATAGTATATCTATGATTGAAATAATTTTTTACAGTGGAATATTGATTTTTCTTAGATTTTGGAGTTTTTTCCCCCATAAATTCTTGTGTTCGCATTATTTATACTTCTCTATTCTATTTGATATTTTTTGTTGAAAGAGGATCTTGGGGAGTGAATCGAGCAATTAGTCTAGACTCCCAACACCAAGTATTAAAGTTTGTTAGATTTGATTTTCCAATAATGTATAAATCAAAGATGGAAACTACACATTAAGAGATCACGAACACCGTTTAGATCAAAGTATCCAAAGCCACTTGGGCTCCATTTTGGTGCTAGTGCGCACGCTCGCCAACATTCTAAAGTTCTTGAAATGAGCACGTGCTGGCTGGCACATATGCATGTTAGCGCCTCAATATCTCTTTGGGCAAGTGCAGGCGTCAACGTTTTGCTTCAAAGCATATTTTTGGTATCAATATTCTTGACGTAATTACGACTGGCACATATGCATGTTAGCGTCTCAGCATCTCTCTGGCGAGTGCTGACGCCAACGTTCTGCTTCAAAGCATATTTTTGTATCCATACCTAATTTTGCTTGTTTCTTTTGAGTTTTTTCAATTTATTCCAATTGTCAAATGTTGTAATTTGAATCTATAAATATGCTTGAAGTTGAATGAACGCTCAATGTGAACTCAATAGTGGTGATTTAGACCCATGCTATACGAACATAGGGGATGATCGGACACACACGCCTCGAGGGTTGGGCAATATTTTATTCACGCGAGACCCACACAATGTGAGGATCGATCACCCGATGTGTCAACCATTTTCTGGTAAAGTGACTTTACTCGGACGATTTAATGTAAATTAATTGTTTAGTTTCATGCTTGTAAATTGTACAAAAATGGATTGCATAATTCTTTGTTCTTTCTTAAAGTTGAATAAAAATATAATATAATTGAAATATCTAAATATAATGTGGATAGAATTGTCATAAAATGATTCTCAATCCATATAACACTTGGATTTTAAATTATATATTAGAATTGGTCGACCTTTAAAATGGAATTTCCAACTGAACGCCTAAACCCATAGGTTGAGGATCGTGTGGCCAAAGAAGAAAGAATGGGACGACATTGCAACTAACCTGATAATTTAGGGACGAATAGGAAATTTTTGCCGAAAATAAATGCCGCAGAATAGGTTTCAAAATTTCGGCTCCACGTCTAAATTTCTCCAATCGCTCCAATTTCAACTAAAATCGCTAGTCATGACTAGCGACTCTAACGTATTGAAGCACTTTTTCGTGTGATTTCTTATTCAAAAATATCGGCACTCCCATTTGTTAACTCCAACCACTCGAGTTGGAGCTTTCCGTCAATCCTCTCCTGTTATAAATCAGTTTATAGCCGTGCTTAATCACTGAATTTCTTGTTCGGGAAAACCAGCCGCTGACTATTTCTATTGGAATAAGCTGCGAGGTAATGATCCCGCTACTCTCACATTGCCCACAAAGTGTTTGATCATATGTCCAACTGGAAATTTGTGGGTCTTATTATCGAACCTTGCAAACGTATCCAAAAATGATAACATTATTGGCTCCACCAGGTGCCATTCAATCCCAAATTCATGCAACACCGTGTGTTTCACTTCAATCCCATTTCATCCCACCATTGCCCATCACCATAAGTCGAAACAATTGTCCTAAGAATAAGAAGTTTTCGCTTTCTGCTCCTATAGCTATTAAATGTTCTTCATCTTCCCACAAACTGGTCCGTGATCCGAGGTTGGACAAGCATGTTGTAAAGCAAAACAAGATACGGTTTGTTCAAAAGCTAAAGACTCTCCTCCTTTCCAAGCCTAAACACTTTATGCCCATCCAAATTCTCTACAAATGCCGTGCCTACTTGTCTTTGCCTAGTCCACGTTCTATCATATCGATGATCCGTCGTTACCCCACCATTTTCGAGCTCTTCTCAGTCCCGACTCCTCCTACACCGTTCAATGCCACTGGACCATTATCCCAGCTCTGTGTTCGCCTTACCCCAGCTGCAACAGCTCTTGCAAAAAAGGAAATCAATCTTAAGAAACGTATGTCCATTTCTTTGGCTGAAAAGCTGCAAAAGCTTCTAATGCTCGCCTCACCACACAACAGGCTTTTATTGTCTAAGCTTGTCCATTTGGCTCCTGACCTTGGCATGCCTGTTAATTTCCGTTCTCGCCTTTGTAACGATCATCCAGATAAATTTAAGGTCGTGGATACTTCTTATGGACGTGCACTTGAGCTTGTTTATTGGGATAATGAACTGGCTAATTGTTTACCCTCGAGTGATGAGGTAAAGGCTCTTGGATTGATAGTAGACAGGCCATTGAAATTTAAGCATTTAAGACTTCGTAAGGGACTTAACATCAAGAGGCGTCATCATGATTATCTTATAAAGTTCAATGAAATCCCGTATGTGTGTCCGTACAAGTCTAAAGCGGGAGATTTTTTAAAAGAGTCCATCGAAGCCGAGAAGCGGGCTTGTGCTTTGGTGAGGGAAGTATTGGGAATGACAGTCGAGAAGAGAACGTTGGTGGACCATTTGACGCATTTCAGGAAGGAGTTTGGATTGCCGAATAAGTTAAGAGGAATGCTAGTGAGGCACCCCGAGTTGTTTTACGTGAGCTTAAAGGGGCTAAGGGACTCTGTCTTTCTGGTGGAGGGATATGATGATAAGGGAGCACTTTTGGAGAAGGATGAAATATTAGCTATAAAATATCAGCTGATGGAGCTAGTTAGTGAAGGGAAGAAAATGAGAAGAGAGAAGAGAAAGGAGTATCTTTCAGTTGATGTCTCGAAAAGTGATGCTAGTCAATTGGACGATGAAGCCGATGATGACAAATATGATGATTACAATGATGGTTTAGATGATCTATTCCAATTTGAAGATTTCAGTTCCGAGGATGATTTAGATGATAATGACAGTCAAGAGATAATAGGGTGGAACAAGAAAGGTGAGTTTTGGACAGCTGAGACAGCTTTTATTCTAGAAAATGAGACTGGCTTAGGTTCCGAACCTTGGTAGGATCATCAGATGAACATAACTTGGATTAGCTAAGAGTATTTGTTTTTGGCTTTGGGTGTTGTGATCTATCAAAGGATATGCTTCTTCTATCAAATATCAAGCCGACCTTTCCAAATGCAGATTAGGTGCACGACGAAGAAAAAATAGTTCGAGCTTATTAAGGCATCAAAGTGATATCGGAGCCATCACTCATATAAGTCTTAAAACTCCATGGCACCAGCTGCATTCTATGGTTGAATTGGCAGAATTCATTGCCAAACTCTTGTAGCAGTATAATACATAATGTGGTGAACTGAAGACAGGAGTGTTCGATTCTAAGCGTGGTGCATGTAAATTTGTCAAAAGTTTAGAACTCAAAGATTCAATTAAAATAACATAAATATAACTTAGAGTGATGTGTGTAATAAGTTTTATATTTTTTTCCTATGATTAAAATTCTACATAATGTCGGAGAAAAAAACAAAAAAGCAATAGGTAACAAAAAACTTGAACTTGCTTATTTTAATGGATATTAAAGAATCGATTAAAAAGAAAATTCAATATAAAGTAAATTGTCTCCTAGAGTAGCTTATTTTTGTTGAAGTTAATTTTAATTTAAATTAGTTTTGTAGAATATTTTCATGAATGCAGTGAAACAAATCTGCAAGTTATGTAATTTAAGTTCCCGTTTGGTAAGAAATAAAATCAGATTTTTAGTAGATGAAGAGTTTGAAGGCACTGGATTTGTTGCATAATTCATTCCCAGAGATTATATCCAATCTCGGGAAAACGATCTTAAATTTTTCGTACAATTCTCTCTCAGGCAAGGATACGGGAGATTTCCCGAGGCATTTGCTGGGAATCCGGAGTTGTGTGCGGAAATATCTAGGGATGGCTATAGGAGACAAAGTGTTCCAGTAGTGGCAGTTGGAAAGAGGTTCCGACAAGATATGGAAGATGGACATATTTTAGTTCGGGTTTTCTGTACAAATGGTTTAGTTGTTGCTCTCTTTTGTTGTTTTCGAACGAGAAACTACATTTTACAGAAAAAACTTGATGTCCTGTTAATATAAGTGAACGATAGATTCTTAGGTTCTTTCCCAATCTTGTGGTGGTCATTTTCAATCTGGTTTCATGCGCAAATGAAATTGTTGGTCATAAACGCCATAGCAGAAGAAACAACCAAAAGTATTTCCATGTAAGTCAAGAATGCTGTACATGTGGATCTTCCAAGATTGTTTGACTTCTGAGGCAATGTTCACAAAAGTCGTGGGATTAAAGGTAAAAGGGGGTTAAGACAAGGTGATCCCTTATCGCCATTTTTATTCGTGATTTGCTTTGAATACTTGTCTAGATCATTGAAGAGAGACACTAGCAACAGTGAATTCAATTATCATCCAAAGTGTGGGCTCTTGAATTTCACACATTTGGCTTTTGCAGATGATTTGATGCTATTCTCAAGGGGTGATGTTATTTCGGTGTGCATATTGTTGCATTGCTTGTCCAAGTTCAGTAATTGCTCGAAATTAACGGTTAATGTGAATAAATACTTACCAAAGATAAATTACAGCACCTGGAGATTGACAGAAACTGCATCTTTTGTGGGCAGATGGAGGAAACCAACTAGTATTTGTTTTTTGCATGTCCGTTCAATGCGTCATTGTGGGGACAGATCCGAAAGAGGATGGGTATTACACGTTCAATGTCTACGTAAGCAAGCTCATTAAAGTGGATTAAAAAGGAGGCTCAAGGGACTTCTTGACAAAGTAAAGCCAAGAGAATCGCACTAGCTAGCACCTTATAAAACATTTGGATGGCTAGAAATAAACAGTTATTTGAAGATCTTAGGCCATGCTCCGATAGTATTGTGAGACGGATCCAAACACATGTATACAAAGTTATGTTTACATCGTATCCTAATGTTTTGATCCATTTTGAGACCTTGCTTTGGGTCGATAAATCGTGTCGTTTGGTACATCTTATGATTTAGTAGGGATTTTATATGTCTGGTATACCCAGTGTACTTGTAGGTGAGTTTTGATTTATATAATTCTACATTTACCAATTAAAAAAAAAAAAGAAGAAGATTCGGGACATTGTATAAACTACATTTATTGCTTTAATTCATGTTGTGAGAATGAGGGGTTCCAGAAGCCACAATATTCGGAAAGTGGGCTGTGCGGCAGTGGTGATAAGCAATCCAAGAAGGTGAAGGTTTTCTACGTCCTTCAGTGAGTCAAGAGCCCAATCTTTCTGATGGAAACGGGAATCTGATTTACTTTTTTGGGTTTTTCTTTTTGCCTCCTCCTTTGAGAGTATCTAATGATGAAATTTTATGGTTCTCATTTTTTTACTTATTCTACCCTTTTATTGGAAATTACTGTAGGAGATATTACACCGATAATGTGCATATTATATTCATCAAGAGCATGTCATTAATATGCGTGAAATCGAAACATCATTTGACTTACTGAAATCTGATTTGAGAAGATAAAACAATGATTTACCGATTTCGAATTCTATGATTAAAATTCTACATAATGTTGGAGAAAAAATAAAAAAGCAATAGGTAACAAAAAACTTGAACTAGCTTATTTTAATGGATATCAAAGAATCAATTAAAAAGAAAATTCAATATAAAGTAAATTGTCTCCTAGAGTAGCTTATTTTTATTAAAGTTAATTTTAATTTAAAATTAAATTAGTTTTGTAGAATATTTTCATGAATGAGTGAAACAAATCTGCAAGGTATGTAATTTAAAGTTCCCGTTTGGTGAAAAATAAAATCAGATTTTTAGTAGATGAGGAGTTTGAAGGCACTGGATTTGTTGCCTAATTCATTCCCAGAGATTATATCCAGTCTCGGGAAAAAGATCTTGAATTTGTCGTACAGTTCTCTCTCAGGCATGGATACGGGAGATTTCCCGAGGCATTTGCTGGGAATCCAGAGTTGTGTGTGGAAATATCTAGGGATGGCTATAGGAGACAAAGTGTTCCAGTAGTGGCAGTTGGAAAGAGGTTCGCACGAGATATGGAAGATGGACATATTTTAGTTCGGGTTTTCTGTACAAATGGTTTAGTTGTTGCTCTCTTTTGTTGTTTTCGAACGAGAAACTACATTTTGCAGACAAAAACTTGATGTCCTGTTAATATAAGTGAACGATAGATTCTTAGCTTCTTTCCCAATCTTGTGGTGGTCATTTTCAATCTGGTTTCATGCGCAAATGAAATTGTTGGTCATAAACGCCATAGCAGAAGAAACAACCAAAAGTATTTCCATATAAGTCAAGAATGCTGTACATGTGAATCTTCCAAGATTGTTTGACGTCTGAGGCAATGTTCACAAAAGTCGTGGGATTAAAGGGAAAAGGGAGTTAAGACAAGGTGATCCCTTATCGCCATTTTTATTCGTGATTTGCTTTGAATACTTGTCAAGATCATTGAAGAGAGACACTAGCAACAGTGAATTCAATTATCATCCAAAGTGTGGGCTCTTGAATTTCACATATTTGGCTTTCGCAGATGATTTGATGCTATTCTCAAGGGGTGATGTTATTTCGGTGCGCATATTGTTGCATTGTTTGTCCAAGTTTAGTAATTGCTCGAAATTAACGGTTAATGTGAATAAATACTTACCAAGGATAAATTACAGCATCTGGAGATTGACAGAAACTGCATCTTTTGTGGGCAGATGGAGGAAACCAACTAGCATTTGTTTTTCGCATGTCCGTTCAATGCATCATTGTGGGGACAGGTCCGAAAGTGGATGGGTATTACACGTTCAATGTCTACGTAAGCAAGCTCATTAAAGTGGATTAAAAAGGAGGCTCGAGGGACTTCTTGACAAAGTAAAGCCAAGAGAATCGCACTAGCTAGCACCGTATACAACATTTGGATGGCTGGAAATACATAGCTATTTGAAGACCTTAGGCCATGCTCCGATAGTATTGTGAGACGGATCCAAACACATGTATACAAAGTTATGTTTACATCGTATCCTAATGTTTTGATCCATTTTGAGTCCTAGCTTTGGGTCGATAGATCGTGTCGTTTGGTACATCTTATGATTTAATAGGGATTTTATACGTCCGTGTGCAGCTCAGTGTACTTGTAGGTGAGTTTTGATTTATATAATTCTACATTTACCAATTTAAAAAAAAAAAGAAGAAGATTCGGGACATTGTATAAACTACATTTATTGCTTTAATTCATGTTGTGAGAATGAGGGGTTCCAGAAGACACAATATTCGGAAAGTGGGCTGTGCGGCAGTGGTGATAAGCAATCCAAGAAGGTGAAGGTTTTCTACGTCCTTCAGTGAGTCAAGAGCCCAATCTTTCTGATGGAAACGGGAATCTGATTTATTTTTTTGGGTTTTTCTTTTTGCCTCCTCCTTTGAGAGGATCTAATGATGAAATTTTATGGTTCTCATTTTTTTACTTATTCTACCCTTTTATCGGAAATTACAATTTTCATTTGGCTGGCAATCTTGATTTTACCTGGAGGAAATGGTTATTGGGTTTAGTAGTTGGCATGTTTCACTAAACATGGTAGACCTATTAGAATAATGAAGATGTAAGAAGAATAGGGATTTGACATGAGACTAAGATGGCTGAAATGACATTTTTCAGAATTTTTGATGTAAATTCCTCAAACGCATGGAAAGAAAAAGGAAAACACGAATGCTATTAGTAGGTTGGTGGGTCTTAAATTGAACAAAAAGTGGAAATATGTAATATTCTTACGTGGAATCTCACTCCAAACAATCAAAACAGTATTCTCACTTCTGTGGAATTGCATTGAAATTTGTTTTGTCCCTCTTTGTTGGTTCTTCATGCATATTATAAATGCAGGTTGAGGAGTTGGCTTATCGTATTAAAGACAACCTTCCTTGCAAGCACCTTGTTCTGTCTATGGAAGAGGCGCTGATCAATTTCCTTTAGGATGATACAAGGTACCTTGTGTGAATGTTTTGAAATAGATATTTGAGAGAAAACTATGTTGTTATTCACTAGCATAGGTTTCTAATTGTTGACATATAACTAAATTCCAGGGAGAGTAGGAAGATGCGTCTGCTAACACTATATTGAGCACCATAGGTTTCTAGTTATCATTTTGAGCAAAGAATTTGAAGTAAAAGAGGAAGAGATACTGGTTTTGCTCTTAAAGATGTCACTTTTCTTCGTCATAAATTCTGTGCAACTGATTGCCCCTTGTTCCTGCCCTGGGCAAATTTTCTTTCATTTTCTTTTCCTCTAAAATGTCAATTAACTTTCTTCCTATATCGTGTTTCTAAACCAAATCTTTTGTGAGAACATCTGCTATGTGTCATCCTAATTATGAAGATTTTAAGCCCATGTTTGGTGCACATTTTGGGAGTAAGAATGTATTTTTATTGTTGATGTGACGGGGAATATGTGATTGAAAAAGAAGGAAAAGTTAATGATGTGATATAAGATATTATTTTATTGAAGAATGTATGGTTGAAAATGAGTAGAAGAATGAGAAAAATAATGTGGCTCAAACAGGGGCTTGTATTTTCTTTATTCATCATAATAGAAAATACACTCTTGCATATTGCAATAGCTACTCTTCTCAATCCATATATGAAGGATCACTTGACCAAATTTTCATGTTTTAGCTTTCAATATAGAGATACTTGGTACTGTAAAATATTCTTTTAATATACATATTACATTCTATGCAGATTAGATAGGGAACCAATGAATCCTTATAACCACCTGCTCGTACGTCGCCTTGTTGACATTTTTGGGTATTTGTGCTTCAGAAGTTATTACTGACTTTATCGATATCTTTCACTTTGTATGTGTTGAGTTGATAAAGCACATCATTGGTTCAGTGACATATGACAGATATAATGATTGTGTTGCCATGCTAGATTTTCTCATCATTCAGTTGGTGAAGGAGATGAGTGACACTTAATTTTGAAGCGTTGCTCAGAGACATCAGTGTAAGTGAAGGCCAATTATTTATTGGATGATTGCATATTTAACTTTATATTTATTAATTAAAATTATGCATGAAGACTTACACGTAAGCAAAAATTTACTTTTCTTAAATATCTCATAAAAAAGACGTGGTAAAATGTGATTCTGTTAAAATTAAAGAAGAAAATTTCCTTAAAATTGTGAAGTCTGAATTTCATTAATTGCTTTGATGGGACAGTCATTTGAGTTCTTCTATACATTGGATTGAATTGCAGACCTTCTATCCTTGTGAGTGATCTCCAATGGCAGTACAATGAGGCGCCATTTCCCACGAAAGATGGAAAGAATTTCAACCCGGTAAATTATATTTTCTGGCAAAGTAATGCTAAGTGATGTAAAGCGAATTTCTATTTTTGTTGTATGAAATCAGTTATTGGTGGTATCGAGAATTCATAATACTATTGGAACATATAACTGACATCATCTCTGCTGTTCAAGTGATACTGATCTTCAAAAAATATGAGCTAACTTTTATCTGCCAAAGAACTTAGGAAGTTAGTAATGATATTATGCTTTGGAACCACCTTCCTAGGTATGGTGAAGAAGAATTCTAAAATGGAAGAAAGGTGCCGGGGGGGGTTGGGGGGGGGGGGGGGTCTTGTGATGTTCATTGCATTTAAAACCGGCTGATTTTCATCTTTTTGATCTGATAAAATGAAAAAAATTAAGTTACAATATATACTCGCGTGTAACAAAGTTGGCATCTGATCATCCAAAGTGGATAATTAGATAATTGTCTTAATTTATAAGAAATGCTTTATGAATTAGTGAATGTTGTTATGTTGGCCTTATAGCTTTACTTTAACTGGATAGATAGTTTAATTATTGGTTATGATTAAACTGGATAGAAGCTGAACATATATATGTAAATATGTGATTTTTCCTAACAATGCCTAAATAAGCAGTGACTCTTGCAGGCCAGAGGGAAATCTCTGCGACTGAATCGTCAAATGAAAGAAAAACAACTCCTTTTACTTCCAGGGAAAGGATTTTTTGCAGACAAATGTGAAACAGGACTGGTAAAGCAGGCCACAAAATGATCCTACGGTTGCTCGACGTATGATAACGCATGCTCTTGGCCATAGAATCAAGTCGACAAATCATGAACTTAGCTCCAGGTATAATCAAAAGTATGGCCACCATGTGAAGGACGTTAAAGTATAATCCGAACTTAGCTCCAGATATAATCAAAAGTATGGCCACCATGTGAAGGACGTTAAAGTATAATCCGAGGACAAAGGGTCCATCAAATCGAGCAGTCGTACAGAGATAGAAATTCCATCTTCCACAGTTGTAGGGACTGCTAGGTGTAAGGTACACGAGCAAAGGAGTCAAAGAACATCTTCTGAGATAAATTTATCTGCAGAAGAAAGAGATGATAATAACATTGAGAATGACTCTTCTAGAAAAGAGCTTATGGGAGCTGCAAAGAGATTGTTTGTTAATGCCTTGGGGATTCATCAAAGAGAGGGTAACCCATCTAAGTGCCACGAAACAAGGCAAACCAAACTAAATTGAGGAAGCATCTCATTGCTCAATATGTTGTGAATATAAAGCTAATGATAAGATTTCAACAAGCCACTTCCATTTGATTGTTGAGTGACTATGATGGTGGTGGTCTTCTGTCTATAAGATAATTTGGCAGAAAGAAGCTTTGTGCACATTCTGGGTAACCAAGTTAGAATATTTGTTTGTCGAAACTCGTTGGGCTACATTAAGGCTGGATTTGGCAGACCAGTGGTTTTACAACTTTTGATTCTGGGCATAACAGTGATGGTGTTTGTTAAGTCAAATCTAGGTCATTACAATTCTTGACGGTTCAATTTATTTGGGAGTTAACGACTGACATCTATTCAAGATCCAGATAGAGCCATATACAATTCAATGTACGTAAATCGAGTTTTCTGTGTTTGTCTTCCAGACGAATCTTATAAAACTTGCAACTAAAAATAAAAAACCAGACCTACGAACCATTAACATGTCAGGACATGCCAATATTACAAGCTTGCAAATTGATTGATGATTATCCGGACATTCTGTTTTAGGGGGAGAAAATAGAAACAAATACAAAGAATATCAAGTTATTCAGCTATCAACTTCTCTATGATGTATGCCTATTTGGCACAGAATAATTACATTCAGAATGGTGCTTTGCACAGAACGTGATACTATTGCATCACTTCTCTGCATTGCTACAATATTTCTGCCAAGACAATGGGTGCAGTTACAATGGCTCTCAAATGGTGAATCTTCTGGCACGAGATAAGGTTCCATACAAGATGCCTTTGATACTTCTAGGGGGCTCCTCCAGGGCCCATAACCACATAATTTTCAAAACACATTCTGGAGATTTGACAGAAATCTGAGTGTTCTGATGCTCAGCTTCTTCTTTTACTCGCAATATACAGATTGTAACACTACTTCTGGCTTTGGGACGTGGAAGGTGCCTCTTTTTTAGCTGAAGCACGAACCATTGACTCGGTAGCTACTAACTTTTCCCTCAGTATGACTATATTCATACAACTTTTGGAGGTTATTCTGAAGATCAATCGTACTGATTTCATTAGAAGCCTTCAGTTCTGCAGATGTAAAGAAACAACGGCAAATGTGAAGAAAAACTATAAGGTCTCAATAACAGAAGAATCAATAAGAAAGATTGGACAGGTTATACTATTTTGATATCGAAAGCAGATTTGCTCTCCATATCCTATATTTATCTGTTTCTTCTCATTTAGGAGATTTGCTAAGTATCTGACTAACATGAGATGCTGCTAGACATATGTAAGGAACCTTCCACTCCCTGCTTCATCCCCAGGTTGATAACACTCTCCACATAGTTAAAATTAGAAAATACGAAAGGAGGAACTGGTGAATTTGAAAGCCTTAACTTCGTCAATCAATCAAATCGCAATCAGAAAAAAATGAATTGGGAAAATACTCAAACGAAAACAAAAGATTTTTAATTTTGTTTTTTTTCAAGTAGTATAATGAAAATTTAAGTTGTTCTGCAAAATCAACTCGATAGAATTTGCTCTTTTCTCAATGTATACTTAGTGCACGGGAGAGTAACATGTGCCACAAGGGATGAAGGTCTGAGCTTTTAGGTCCTAATACAACCGATCCTAGTGCCAGACAATAAGTGAGATCTGCTTCCGAAAAACACAGGAGGCATCATGCCTAACTCTCTCTACTACTCTCTAAATTGCTCCTCTTTTCTTTCCCCATTCGCCTCTGTTGTAATTTCATCTCGAAATAGTTAAATGATGACTGAGGTTTTAAGTACTTTTTTGCAAAGAGATGCTCTAGGACCACACACACACACTCCACACTTGAAGTCACGGATATACTCAGCAAATAAGAAGATGGATAGAGACAAACAATCAATTTATCAAATTTTCTCCATTTCACACTCCAGGCGGCAAAACTCCCTTATCATCACATAATGTCTTCAATAATCCTGCCATGCTCCACGTCCCTGCTCTCTTCCATTAAGTTTCATTCATTTTGGCTGGTGCTAAATTCGATTTTTCATTTTCTTTCTAATCTTGAAAGCAGTCTACCTTTCATGATTGTTAAGCTATCATGTAGGACGTGAGTAATTCAGTGTATTTAATAATGGTAATTCCAGCTACTCTTCTCACACTTTCAAAGTAC